TATGTATATTGAGAGAAATGTGCATTTACATTTGTGCATATATTTGTGCATAACAAAAGTCTATTTACAATATGAGAAAAATAAAATTATGCAAATACCAATGGAAATGTAAAATTAGTAAGTCAGCTAATACCAGCAGGGACATGACACTGAGTGAGTTTGTTGGTGCACCATCATGGAAAATTCAAATATAATATCCAGAAATGTGTGGTTGTGTGATGAGGAAAATAAAGGTACAAATGTTCAGGGGCTGAATACTTTTTGGACCTGCCATAGTCTTGAAACTCGGAGTTCTGACCCATTTTCCTGTGATTCCTTGTTCAGCCTGACCTTCCTTCCTGTATATTGTCACACTCACAGCTGTCCCAACTAGCTGCATACGTCGGCTGTTTTTATATGTGGCAGCGTTTGTCCTGTGGCTAACAAGTCCAGAGACTGGCACCGAGGCCGACACCGTCCTGACCGGACCTGCAGCGGTATTGAGTAAATGCCATAATGCTGCCATGATGTCTTCTTACAGAGGGAGTGCGCCGCCACTCCCCCCCTCTGCGGTTTTGCTGTGTAATGAAATATGTCTCGCTTGATGTATGGCTGCAGGAGAAGCCCAAATCGAAAACTGAATCACACTAACTTAATTTGTGGTTCGGGCAATCAAATTACTTGTTTTGGCTGCTGTGCTGACGATGAATTCATCTTTGTGACAAAGCTGTCAGGGCGGCTAAAGGGGAGGGGGAGACGCAGTGAAGAGTGTGTGTGTGTGCATTGGACTGGGTAATGGTGAGAAGAGGCTAGCAAACAACTTAGCCGCAAGTGTTGTGTGGAGCTTTTGTTCTGGTGTGGAGCAGGAAGTCTTCTGAAGTTTAATAATACAAACAGGAAGTTGTTTTCCTGAACAGACCGCCACGGGTGTAAGCGGTTTACCGGGCTGCGGTGACCCTGTGGACCAGTTAGAGGAGAAAGTGTCAGGAAGTGTGCGGGCATCCCGCAGTCAGAGCTCATTTCTACTGCAGCACAGCAGCTTGACATCACTGCCTCAAGACACAACATGGCTACAGTGAGAGGAGCTCATTAAAGGCTCTGTTCATGGAGAATAAGCCCTTCATGCTTTATTTTTTCATGCGTTTTAGCATATTTTATAAAAATGTTTATAAGGTGATGACACCTCCCATTGGTTTCCCGTCAAGTTCGTACTAAAATGTGATTGCTGTCTTTTTTATAATGCAGAGAGTGGAAGCTCATTATTACACAACAGTGAAACAGTATTGCCATACAGGTTTCACAGTCTACCTTTAGAAACTCTAGATAATTCTGCTGTGATGTTGTACAGATAGATGCCGATTTCTGCCACCATTTTGGCAGATTTCATATGCATATCATTAGCCTCATAACATAATTGCCTAAGTCATATGTTAGTGTTTTTAGAAAACAGGAAAGACATTAATTAAAGTATAGAAAAAAATGTGAAAAAATATGGATTGTTTTGTACTGTAACACATGTTCTGATAGGCTCAGGACACGGGCAATCAGGATGATGTAGTAGTGTAAGAATATCTCAATTTGACCAAAATATGACTTATGCAATTATGCTATGAGGTTACTGATACATTTGCTTAAAAGGAGTTCTCCCAGTATGTACATTGATTTTTACTGGGTATTTTTTCTTCATAAAATCCAGAAGAAATTTTTCCAGGCCAGATTTTGATGAAAGGTATAAATTTGGTAGATGGACACCTTTGAAAACATTTCAGCCACACACATTACTTCATTTTGGCTCAACACAACAAATAATACAAGACTGTAAACCATACCCGGATTATGTTTGGATTTGCAGTGGTTTACAGATTCATTTTCTACTAAAATCAAACTACTCTTCTTACTTTATGAAAATATTGCATATTTTGTTGAACTGGGAAACTAATTACAACAGTGTTGTGTTTTAAAACACTTCAATATGAGAACTTTCCCCTTGACATTATCTCCCCTTGTCATGCGAGTTGAATAAGTCACATGGCATCGTTATGGACGTGTTTGGATCACCAAGCAACAATGATCCAAACATTGAGCTGAACAGAGTCTTGGGTCTTAATCTCTTAGAAGTGTAAAGGGCTGCGGGTGCCCCGTCCCCTCTTCTTGGAAGTATAAAGGGGTGCGGGTGTCGTCCCCCCCGGAGAGGTACGGGTACCGTCCCCCTCTCTTAGAAGTGTAAAGGGGTGCGGGTGTCACCCCCCCGCCCCCCCGGAAGGGTGTGGGTGCCACCCCCCCCTTCTTGGAAGTGTAAAGGGGTGCGGATGTTGTCTCCCCCTCAGATGATAGGGATATGGGTCCGGGTGCCGTCCCCCCTTCTTGAAAGTGTGAAGGGGTGCATGTGTTGTCTCCCCTTGGTTGAAAAGGGGTGTGGGTTTTAATGTTTTTTTTAATGTCTTTATCTTTATTTTGTATTTATTAATTTTTTTCTGTTTATTCAATGTTACATGACTCTGTTTCTGTTTTTAATGTTGTAAAGCACTTTGAAATGCCTTGCTGCTGAAATGTGCTATACAAATAAAATTTGATTGATTGATTGATTGATTCTGCTCACTGGTGCTGCCTAGAGTTTTGTGTAATTTCATCATTAAACCATCATTTACACTACTACCTGGGTCCACCGTGTCTATCCTCACCAACTACACCACAAATCCATCCATCTCTGTCATGATGGAGTTAATAATACAAACAGTGAAAAGAAAAACACCAACAGAGGTCAGTAATGCAAGTATGACGGAGTTTAATGGCCAGTCTAAGAGATTTTTATTTTCAAATACAATATTATTATTATTATTATTATTATTATTATTATTATTATTATTATTATTATTATTATT